TGCTGTGGCAAAGACGTATGTAGTATTCTTTTCATATATGCATGTTTGCAAATTTATTAAACTTTTTAATTATTAAAAATAATGTTAATTAATTGTACAATATCTTAAATTTATCTAGGAAAAATACAAACAAATGAAGTCATTAATAACGTCATCAAAACTGGTAATTTCTCTGAACAATCTGATAGTTTATTTCAGTTATATAGTATTGTTTAGTTATAAGAGAGAACGGGATGGCAGCTATAGGGGCAAAGTCAAGGAATGTACATAAAGGGTAAGGACAGAAAGGGCAGAGATAGGTTGGAGAGTAGGTGGTAAAATAGCTACACAGGAGAATTTAGACCTAGTATTCTACAGCATGCTGGGGGCTACAGTCTATAATAACCTATGTAATAAAGGAGAGTTTAGGCTCTCCAAACATAAGGAAGTGATTTGATTCACACATTATATGCATATATTTACATATCACACTGCTCCCACAAATATGCACAATTATTACTACATGCTAAGTAACAAGATTTTTAAATTTTATTTATTTTAAAAATTTTTTATGCAATATAATTTCATGCAGTATAATCTGACAGTATTTAGATCTCCTCCTCTATCCACACCTCCCCTTATTGCCCCTAGCCCTCTATTTTATTTATTATATATAATTTATTTTATATATATATAAAGGCCTATAGAGTCTTAATTTGTATTCCCAAATACAAATGTCTTTCAGTGAGGGTCCATCCACTGGGGGCCTGGTTAATGTATCAAAAGTCCCATCTTTGAAAGAGACTCTCTCTACCCCTCCCAGCACCTCTGGCTCTTAGAATCTTTCTGTCCCCTATTTCACAATGATCCCTGAGCCTTTGAAGGCAGAAGTTTGATATAGGTGTCCTAGTCAGGGACTGCAGCCTCTCTAACAAGATTTTTTTGAGTAGATGCTAAAAGAAGGTTGAGCTTGAGGAAACGAGATGATGGAGATCTTTTGTGAAACTTCATGTAACTCATATGTTCTCCCTCATCATTTAGTCATAGCCTACAGGTCCATTATCATTTTATCACACACATTCTACGTATTTTCTTTCCCTGGGGAAACTGACATTTTACCAAAGGTGTTATGCTAGGCCTTCTACCTCTATTAAGTATGGTGGCAAGTGGTTTTAAACTAGCATAACTTTCGCTGTGTCTCACTTTAGTATAAGGTTAAAGATCTGAATGGAATGTAAGTGTCCACAGGAGTGGGGCAGTTGGGGAGGGCAAGGGCTTTGGAAAGTCACAACTATGCACAGAAACATCTGAGTCTTAGTTCAGCTACACTTACCTGCTCCTCTGCCATGCCCCCCACTCCCACTGTCCACCTAACATCCATTAGGACATAAATAAACAGAAAGTGTCATCAGATATCACCAACATTTCCTGCCTGTTGAGTTGCTTCTTGGGTTAAGTGGAAAACCACCGTGAGTGTTTATGAAGACTATAAATTTGTTTCCTTTCCAATTCTACTCCTCCCCTCCAGGGAAAGTTCTATTCATGAAACACTCAAAATAGATGTAAAGAAAAGAGAGTGAGTAGCTACAGTTCAACAGAAAGCAATTACACTAATATTAATAAATGAAGAAATGGGGCTAGATTAATTAAAGTCATTGAGTCAGTAATGGAGAGTTTTAGTATTTTGAAATACTCAAAATTATATATCTCGTCCATAATCATGATACATAGCTAGAGAAAAACACAATATTAATTTTTTTATTCATTTACTTTTTGGCTGGTATATATATCCCAATGCAATATGATCAGCCATTATCTATTTTGTTAGCAAACACTGAGAAAATAACAATATAAAAGTTTCACTCAAAATGACCTACACATATAGAAATACTGGTTTTATTTTTCTGTGCATTTGAGTCATTGTCTTGATGTGTCTGTCCATCACCAATGAAGAGCCACAGGGCTCATGGTACAGTTTCTGTCCACTAGCTGTAGATTGCATAGCTTACATGAAGGCTTACATAAATACTTGTGAGATGAATAAATAGAATGGATAGAGATGGATGAAAAGAATGGATAAAAGTTATTTCATGAACTGGAGAGAAGGCTCAGCAGTTAAGAGCACTGGCTGCTGTTGCAGAGGACCTGGTTTCAATTCCCAGCACCCACATAGTAGTTAATAACTGTTCGTAACTCCAGTTACAAGGGACCCAACACCTTCTGTCCTCCAGTATTGCACCACACAGATGCACTTATATACATTCAGGCAATACACTCATACACATAAAATAAAAATAAGTAAATCAAAAGTTATTTCATATTAGCGGGATGACATGTTTCCTAGAAAACTATGATGAGAATTAAGAATTTTATTCTTTTTTCCCCTCTAACTTCTGTGGTCACCAATAAAATTGAAATTTATTCATGAGTTAATGCACAGAATTTACGAATTTACAATGATGGCGAATATGCCATGCAAGTGAACGGCTGTGATAAGGCCATTCGACAAGTAAAGGACACTCCTTTATACACGTATCTCTTGTGCAGTCAGAGTAATACCTTAGCCTGGAAATAATTTCACAGTGATCAAGTATAATCTACTCTGTGTAAAATACAAAATTTTTGTAGTCAGAGTACTTTTAACATGGATGTGGATCAGAATCCCAACCAGTTTATGAAGAAATTTTCATTCCATGAGGGGGTCAACAAACAAACATCCACTTCCAACTAACTGTAGGTAATATTGAAAAATAAAATATGGGAAAGATGGTGAGGGAACAAAGCGTGCATACAGATCTAGTCCTTAAAGAGCTTGAAGCAAAGTTACATTTTCAGTAAACAAATTAATTTCCTAGTAGAGTATGGAAGAACAAGCTCTGTTTCAGTAAGTGGGGGAAGGTGAACACCTTCATCATATTATATGTGTTCCTTTGGACTGTATGCCCATTTATGTCTTGATTTGTGTAAGACAGCAACCGAGACCTCACTGAAAGGCCCACTGTAAGCAGCTAAGCTTGCAAAAATGGTTTTGTCTTGTGCCGGAAGCAGAGTATGTTTTTATTCAAAGTTATCTAAAGGCTTACTTGCTTGAAATCATCAGGCGGACAAGAGAAGTCAGGAAAATGGACGGTGCTTTTTGGCAGGTGTATTTCCATCTTCCAACAAGACTGAAGCGCTGACAGAGGCCAATCGCGATGACAAGTAAGTCACCGCACAATATGAAAGCAGATACAGCTAATTAAGCAACAGCTTCAGCTGTAAAATGAAATTCTAAAGAAAAGGTAGAACGCTCATCAGGAAGAAAAAAGAAATGTTCTGAGCGCAAGATGCTCTTAACAGGGAAATTTGGTTCAGTTTCATCTGTTAGTGGACCGTCCTTACTGTAGCCAGCAATTTTGTCTCTATCATCTATCTGATCTATCTATCTATCTATCTATCTATCTATCTATCTATCTATCTATCTATCTATCTATTGATCTATCCATCCATCCATCATCGATCCAACCATCTATCATCTATCTATCTATCTATCTATCTATTGATCAATCGATCCCATCCATCCATCTATCAATCATCCATCTATCCATCCATCCATCATC